AGAGAGCCCAAGTTAGTTTATTTTTGGAGATTGAGGATGCTAAGCAAAATCAATCTAGGACAAATTACGACCAGGAATATTCGTATCGACGAATGATGATGATGCTAATGATGCTGATGGTGCTGCTGCTGCTGATGATGATTGATGATGATGTAAAACACTCGGTGCTGAATCGTACTTTGCACTACCTATTGAGTCCGCGACGGACAAAATAAATTCGCATTATTTTTCGTAGAGTTTTTAAATAAGTTAGGAAGCAATATCATCGTTTTACATGTGTGTTACGAGTGAGGAAAATCTAGGGTACTTTATCGCCGTTTAATGCAATAAGATGGTTGCGAAATCTTAGAATAGAAAGTGAAGCAGATGGATAGAGAGCGACAGAAAACAAATGTTATAATGCATTGTTTTCTATTATGCATTCACTACGAGAATGTAGGGGACAGGATGTAGAAATCCGCAGCAAAACAGCCACTGAGGTCGTTCGTTAGTTATGTCGATAAATGCACACAATCGAATGTGTGCATCGTCTTTAATACAATAATCAGACTGTCGGGAAGCTTCAATCGACGCCAACTTCGAAGTGAGGATCTTCAATACTCTTGTCCAAGTCATCGGTTGGCCTGCCTTCTTCTTCCGTCCACACTCCCGATGCGTAAACAACGCACCTCGTGGGAGACAGTGTGCTGGCATGTGCAACATGTGGCCCACCCATCGGAGCCTGGTGCCTGATATAACGGTGCTCAGCGGTTATTCTTTCGGCTTTTGAGTCAAAATGGAAAAGCTGTACAACCTAACAAATATATTAACCGGTCGTCTTCCACGCCGTCTGAAATGACGATTTCCCGATCGATGCCAACTATATTCGAAGATATAACCTGTCCTTTCCACAAATATATGTAAATAACTGAGGAGCGTCCGCAAAAGTACTGAATTCAGTATATTCTATTAAAATGTGGTTTCTTGCAATACTGAAACGTGTAAAGGGAAATGCTTGCATGATGCTTCTATGGTTGACGCATTACGAACATGAACCCTTCTTGAAGATCGGGATAATAACCGCGCTGCTTCAGTCGGTTAAAGCAGTTTCCTGCCACCACAGTTACACTCATAAAATGTGTCAATCATCCGCATAACTGGTCCCCCAAAATGGAAATTGACTGAGGGGAATTCATCGGGTTCGTCGGTCTCATTTAACTTCAACATTCTGATCTCACGTTCCATTAATGCTCAAGAGGTCAGGTCAAAGGGAGTGCAGAGAACAGGGTGATCACTGGTCGACAAGAAAGGCAGATCAAATTGTTTTTCTAAATGTCCAGTCCAATGCTCCCAGCTCTTTGACAAGTTGCGGACAGGCATTCCTCTCTCATCCCGTTATCAACGGATCTCCTACTGCACGTTTCCTGAGTGAAACGAAATAACTTTTGATGGTAGTCAGGAGAAGCTGTTCTTTCTCTCTCCGACAAATGAGGAGACAGATAGGTTTCGCGATCTCTCTTCAGGCTAGAATACTGTCCTGCCCTGGAATTTGTGCGAGTTTTGTTTTTGTGGTTTCCAGCCGGAATGTGTCTGTGAGGCTCCAGAAACTGCGTAGCTACCCACTGCTCAGGTTACTAATTAGATTTGACAGCTGGAGACATGTCTGCTGATAATACGGTCTAGCGAACATACGAACAGTTTGAAGTTTGAGCGCTTTTTCAGCCCGAATGTCAAGGTGTATATATATATATATATATATATATATATATATATATATATATATACCCCTAATATTTTCCTTTGCCGTTTGGTATGTGTCATTTTGCTCATAGCGAATTTTCAGGTATCTGGCGGAACATACTTGAAGGTCAGCACGTGGCAGTACATGATCGGATTCCCTGCTTTTTTCAGATCGAGCCTTGCTTTTGACGCAGTCTCTGACTCTGTAACTAGTCTCTATGTGACCGATTTAAGTCCGTGGCTAGTGCGAGGCTGATGGGCGCCATATTTGCCTTCCAGTGAGTGTTGCGACGGAAGTTGCCGCCGGTTAGAAATAGACGAGCACCTTCACAGATTCGTAGCAACTATCCACCGTCATTGCTACGGAAGTCACATCATATTAGCCTGCCCAGATGACACCCATCAATGGACAGTTTTCCAACTTGGGAGGGTAGATAACCAGCACGAACGATTGTGTCTGTACTTTTTCTGTGAAGAAGCAGCTCGTTCAGTCGACTCTAGTAGTCCACTTTTCCCAAGTGAGCGCTACAGTTTGTGGGGACATAGGCAGCAATGACGGATACCTATTGGCTCCAGGCGAGTTCCAAGCTCTGAACGAGCCAACCGATCTGACGGCGTACATCCGGCTGCTGGTTGCAATCCAGGCGATCAAAGCAGCTTCGGCCCTGAGGCTCATGGCAGCGCTTCCATCGACTTGACTGGCATTTGAAGCAACCAGAAAGTGCCGCCAGCGTTATGTGAAGGGAATCCTAGAGCGAATACAGAGCTCGAGTCTTTTGGGTGGGTTTATGATAAACAGATGTTTATCGAGAGGATCTTGCGTTCAAGCAATTGCCGCTTGTTGAGTGATACGCAAAAATGCGTACTTTGAGGCATATCAGTCTTGGCGGGGATCCATGGCTCCAAATAGAAGCGTATGAACTGCGGTTGTCCGCTTGGTTGGATATGGAATGGCCGACAGCAGGAGTGGCATCCCTGATTGCTAGACAAAACTAGGAGACATGCAACTATTAATTTAGGAAGGAAAAGGGCCAAGAATTCAGGAGTTGGAAGAAGGCGGATAAGAATAGGTTTGGAAAGCGACGATAAGGATAAAACGGCGTATACGGGGAATGAGAAGATTAATAAGCCTGAGCAGTAATACACTCATCCACATCCACTCCGCCCGATGCAGAAGCTAGGGCGCATTTGATTACTCGCTGCGACGGACAGTATCAAGAAATTGTTTAAAGGTTGTATTGTATTGCGTAGGCATGATACTGTCAGATTGCACAGGTCTGGACAGAAGAAGGATTAAGATTCCAAACCAAAACGTTTGGTTCAAAAACCCAACCGCAAGTCAGCGCAAGTTTGGCGATGGAGTATAAGAGTGTCTGCTTTAAGTAACAAGGAGGCGCTGTCCCTCCATCTTTCAATCTCTAAGAAGCAGTGACAGAACAGCTATGTCTAAGCTGATGTTTCATTATGAAACTTTCCACGTGCGTAATTTGGTGCGTTACTAATTTGTAAGTTGTGCAAAATTCGTCCACTCTACGAGTTAGTGCCTTAAAACTTCCTAAATTCAGTGTTCTGAATGTCGTAATCACCTCACCCGTTCTATTTTTTGATATCGACGGAATTCTTCCGTCACGCACTTTGTTGGGCGTAAATATACTGACGAGGAGCTAGGGAATGCGGATTTCACCGTTGAGACACTTTGGATGCTTCAATGGGGATTGGACAAAGTTTTACTTTTGACAACTCAATAGGTAACTATGGTGCAGCTTCCCCACTTTGCCTAACACGTTGCTAACCTCTTGTCTTTTCAGTGTAAATGACACTATCAAAGCTAGTTCATCCAGCGTCAAGTGTAGCATTGATCCGTGTCCCAAAACCTATTCCGGCCCAAGAAAATTAGTGAAAGACTTAATAACGAAGGGGGATATTTTCCATGCCCAAAGACCCAACATTCTTGCACTAACTGGAAGTCTTATCGTCGTCCCCATCTTCTTTAAAATGGAATGTATTTTGATTGCATGGTCTACAAGGAATATTTTTAGATGTTATGAAGTAGAAACAAGTTGACAGTCTCGGTGCTTTTACCTCTAATTTTCATCCTGGTGTATATGAAAATTTTACTTTCGATGTCCCAACTGAACAATCTTACCGCTTACATCATGATATAAAAAGGACAATTTCTTCTACCAGCTTAAACTGCATTTACTTTGCTTCTTGCTTTTTTGTCGTAGCTTGATACCGCCTTAGCTATAACTTTTACTTATCGGGCAGGAGAAACTTATTACTGTAAAAGCAGTGGTGATATAAGTAACCTCACATATTGCATTTTCCACTTCAGTGATGCATTTTTGATGGAGACCACATCTAAGCGCACCTATAGTTACCATCATGAAACTGAAAATGCAGCTTGCTGGGAGCATGGAGCTTAGGTTTATTTGACTCCAACAATGCAACACATCAGCTGATGACTTAGTATAAATATTTATTCGAAGTGAGAGGAAGGCGGACATTTCAGTCAAATTATGCACTGCAAGTGGGGACGGTAGGCGTTTAACAAGTAGATATTTGGCTGCCTACCCATTAGCAGTTGACACAGTGTTGCCAGAATAACTAATCAGGCATAGGAAAAGCAGACCATACTGTATCACTACAATTGAAAAAGACAATTCGTTTGTTGTTAAAGAAGATTGAAACCAAGTTCAGTGTATATGACTCAATATAAGGTGATTTATACAGTACGCCTCCGAAAATTGTGGGATACCTTGAAAAACTTGTGGTAGAAATAAGGTACATGAAAAATTGAACAAAATACCAAATTAATTGTGAACTAGATCGGTATCAAGAAAGTGAGCTTTAGTGTGACGCCTGTAATTAGTCACACACTGGAACTGAATCACTGTTCCTATTCTCAGAGTAAATTCAGTGGTAGCGCACATCAGTGTGGTCTGGAATAGGTTAGAAAATAGACTCCACGACGGGACATGGTTCTACTGAACTTTGTTGGACGTTTCGAAGCACAAATGCGAAGGTAGTTTGCGAGAGAAGGTAGGTGATTACGGATGGCGAAAACACAGCCTGTTTGCAGATCGGGAAAGATGAGGCTTGAAAGGTATGGACTAGCATAACATCGCAAAGACCAACAATCGTGCAGTGGACATTTCAGTGACCGTGCGCTTAAATAAACATGGTAGTGTGAATGTCTATCGACCACACCAACTCACTCTGAGCAGAAACAAGCTTACTGGTAAATATTCATACAGTCAAGCGGATAAGGGGGAACTCACTCATCTGCTGAGGCTTTAGTGCGTCCCAATCGGTCACTTTATGTGGTACATGACCGGAAGTCAAGTTGATTGGAAACGTGCCTTCAATCCAGCACAGATTTGTAATGTATGAATCAGCGTTCACTCCACTTACAGTAGTTGGGAGATAACACACCAGTGGGCTCATAAAGTACTGTCGAAATGTGACCAACACCATGCAGATCAAGAGAACAATGACATTCCACTGGAAGTTGGCACGATCAGCCAAGTCTTCGAATCCGACGTAGTTGCAAACAGAGAAAGATTGCACATAGCCAAGAAACTCTGTTGCTACCATGCTAGGGTTCTGGAGTGGACGTTACTGGTCTGTACGAAAAGAAAGAGAGTGGGATGATAAATAGTGGTGGTGGTTGCAGAAGACAAGGGGAAGTTGCTCTTGCCATAAGGGAATTGTTTTGGGCTGATCAAGAGTGAGATTAGAGTTGTGCATATACGAAGTAGAGCGGAAGCGGTTAAACTTTCGCATGTTTCTCTATTTCGAGGTGCAATTAGACAACTGATCAGTTTCGAATCGGAACATCCGAAATGCCGACCGGAGTGACGAATCAAAAGAAAGATATAATCGATCATACATGAGTCCCACTTCTATTAAAACTGCCCTTTCCATTTAATGATTCAGTTTTACACACGTTTTTTTCGGATTGATCTGCTCGCGTTCCCTCTCATGATATTACATGGTGTTGCACTGTCCTTTTTCAACGATTTGAACCAAGGTCGGTCTCTTCACCGCACTTGTTTATAGAGGAAATCTGCTCAGTTAAGCGCACGATGTGAGGAGATTATGCGGAATTACCTCGATTGGATTCAAACATTCACAATACTGCTGTATGACAGCCCTAGTTACACGTTATAGTCAAGAGGTAGACACCAGGAAGTGCGTGCAAGAAATAAGTTCGATTACAATGGTTTAATTGGGTAAAATACGATAGCAGGCTTTCATGGCTGTTGATATTAGAGCTACAAGTAGGTGAAGCAGCAGAAGTTTCTTTACTTCTGGTCGGACTAAATCACTTATTAACTATAGAACAACCGGGTATATGAAGAAAGGATGAAAAATAATGTAGTTTGATAGGCAAAAGCATGAATCTACTGATGATACCCGAGCCTGAGTAGCACATCACTGCTGTCAGGTACATTCGTTGTTATACCGGTACGGACCACCGGTTCTAACCTTTTGACCAAATGGATCTGAGAGTTGTTATGGAAATGACGTGTATTAGTAGATCATGTTCTTTTAGATGTTGGAAAATCTACTTCGAAATTTTCTGAGATAGTCATCACGCTTCTCTCTTCGATGACACAGATAACGTAGCTTCGTTTCGCTGACGATTTTTTGGTTCGAAGGGCCCACAACAGTTCATAAGGATATGGATGCAAGAGAGGTGCGCTAGTTAGCCAATCTACCTGACACTGCTACACACGTGTTCAATCTCCTCCATTGGTACATGACCACGCAATCTGCTATCTGCTGTACCATTAATCGTACATTTGAACAAGATTGTTGAAAAATACGTCATTTATATGGCCTCTTATCCATATTAGTCTTTGGGCATTGTTCGTTATATCTGCTGCAGATAGAATAGTTACAACGGTCATGTACCTCCACCAAGCTGATACCGCTCCTTACACAAATTTGGAAATGTGATTCCAATGACCAGCCATAGTATCAAGTAAAAAATATACAGTGAATCCACATTTAATAGGGAGTTAGGTTGCAGAACAATGAAGACAACAACGGTCAAATATGCACTTTCGTTAAACATGTTAGAACCAGTGGGTTCGCAATAGTAACGGGGGCGCGATACCTGCCCAGCTAGTTTGATCACGGACCCAGGAAAACATGACAATACTGAGCGCAGTCTAATAAAAGGTGAACTGTCAAGCAAAGAATAATAGTGGGAAAAAGTAGCGAAAGTTTACGAAAACCAAACTAGATTAGACCCGAGGCTAAACGCTAGCCAACAAAAGAGAAGAGATACCGACAGTTGTTTGATCGAATCAACAGACAGCAGCACTGATAACAGAGAATGGCAAGAATATGAATACAAGTGCTGAAAATTTTTCCAGTTATATTGATAACCAATACGGCTGGTTGAAGGATAGTAAGGTGAAACAAAGGAAGTGTCAATGCAATTCGTGGATGGAACAATAAACTCCACTACCTAAGCAGTAAAGTAGGCATTAACAATACGCCGGTGCGCGGTACCGACGCTTGGCTGCCACGCAGCCACCAAGTCACACGTGAGCTATGGATACTGCGAGGGTGGCCCGGTACCTACGCAGGTTCGAATCCGCGCCCTCGGATTACAAGGCAGGCTTGCCATCCTTAAAGCTACGAGCCTGTAGTGCTCGATGCTGTCACAATAAGGACGTTACTCAACGGCCTCTTTACCACTGGTTTTAATCACAATTTATTTATTCTAAATAAGACAATAAGAAGACTGGTATTGCGAGATGGAACCATTTCGTGTTATCTGCTCCCTCGCAAACCAACAACATATATATGAATCACGTGACAGAAAAAGCGAAGATTTGAAACTGGTCACAAGGGAAAAATTACGTAGACGCAAGAATGACAGATCAGCATCTTGATCTTAGGGTCATGAGCCCCAAGGCAGCTTCAGGGAGACTGTTAATTATTTGAAGGATGTTTGTGAGTAACGTAAGTTTCGTAGAAGGTAGAAGTCACGCTTAAACTCCACACGAAAATCTGCCTCGACGGGGAATCGAACCCCGATCCACGAATTTCTGGTCCGCTGCTCTACCACTGAGCTATCGAGGGCTGACGATTAGGTGAGGAATTTAACACGTGACTTCTGCTTGGTGCGCGAAGTATTGTCAATGAGCTCACAGTAACTGTTCTGGTGTTGCAGATCGGCTCACTCACTCGTCACTTCCCAGTGGACCGAAGTAACTGTCCATCCGAAATCCAAAGGGTGATGGTAGATTATTTGAAGGATGTTTGTGAGTAACGTAAGTTTAGTAGAAGGTAGAAGTCACGATTAAACTCCACACGAAAATCTGCCTCGACGGGGAATCGAACCCCGGTCCACGAGTTTAATCGTGGACCGTGAGTTTAATCGTGACTTCTACGTTCTACGAGACTGTTAATTGATTTTGTACACACAGGATAGGGCGATGCCGGTTAAGTGCCACCGCTTCGGCAAACCTCAACACTTTGGGGTTGTCATTTCGATAGATAACTGTAAATGTTGACCTAGGGTCAACCTGATGGCCTGTGTGTACAAAAACAATTAACAGTCTCCCTGACGCTGCCTTGTGGCTCATGACCCTAAGCAAGATGCTGATCTGTCATTCTTGCGTCTACGTAATTTTTCCCTTGTGACCAGTTTCAAATCTTCGCTTTTTCTGTCACGTGATTCATATATATGTTGTTAGTTTGCGAGTGAGCAGATAACACGAAATGGTTCCATCTCGCAATACCAGTCTTCTTATTGTCTTATTTAGAATGATAAAGAGAACTCAGTGTTTTAAATTTATTTATTGCTGCCTGAAGAGCGCAAATAGCGAAGAAACCGGTTTCGGACTGTAGTGTTATCAAGCACTAGTCTGTCGGTACTCCGGTTTTGTGGTATTCAGTTAAAACCAGTCGTCGTATTTGCGAGGTGCTGTCTCAGACTTTAAATAGGATGACCTTCGATTAAATAATTGTTACAAATAACTTAAGCTACAACTGGACTGCACACGGAGCAACGTGCCTATTGAACGTGGAGATAATCGCACAGTGAGTTTGAGCATCATGTTTTGGAGCATAAATTAGCCACTTGGTTACCAGCTCTTAAACCTAGATACCAGATAGTTTTGAGAACACACGCGCACTAAGGTTGGATGCGGAGAGGTCCAAGATTGTCGTAACCAACAGTAGTACAGTTGTATCGTGTGAAGTAGTTCAACCGTTCTGAGTGAACAATTCTGGACAGAACAGTTGGTTGTGCACGCTCTCATTTACCTCAGCCCGTCAATGTACTCATTAAAGAAAAACGAATGGCAAGTTAATAGGAAAGTAAAAGGCATCACTTCTATATGAAGCCATATATTGGATAAAGTTCACGGATAGCTAGTGGGGTTTACATCAGCTTCTGGCATTTGTTGTTTTTTGCAGACGGAAGATTAGGCACCACGCTTTGCTATCGTACAGTCCAGCAAATAGTTTGTGTTGACTACGAAACATCGTATTGGCTACAGCGACTAGTTACAAGCAACACTGAATCACCAACAGTGGATCGATTTCGAGCGTATTTTCTCTGCTAATGAATCAGTGGTTCCGCTCACAGATGGGTGGCAAACAGACCTACGCAGAGAAGGACCAACGGCAGGTCAAGACATCTGCGTCTATAGCGGTGTCATTCTGAATTCGTGTGTGTGACCCCAACACTACGGTTAAGCTCAGGGAAGCAGACGCTCGGGTAAGAAACGGCACCTAGTCTGGCTAGACGAGGTCAGACATAACAAAGAAGGTGACACACTCGATTTACTAGGGCGTGTGTCGGTCACATTTGTCCCGGGCAAGGGACATTAAACAAAGAAACCAGTGTGGACAGAGAGAGACAAAAGTGAACGACGCAAGCAACTTCAGGGCAGTCATCATAACGTTCTACTGGTGGCACAGTAAGAACAAACATTCGTCCTTGAATCAAACTTGCAGATTAAATCAGTCGAAATGAATTTGGTGACTTTACGTCGCAAAGATAACTTCATGGAGCTCAGACCGTAAAATATACCCCACACCCACAGGCGGATTTTGTTGAAAACCGACCGGTAATAATCACCCGGTAAAGTTCAAACGGTACAAGAGAAATATCTGGTGTAGTAACATCAGACAGACTTATGAGGCTATAAATAACGTATAGAAAATAATACGGAAGTTAGAAGACTCAAGGAGTCTCTAAGCGCAAAATAAACTCCTTCGGATTGAATATACAAAGATATTTGCACCGGGGTTTCCAAATTTAAGCTAAAAGGTTTTCTCAAATTGCCCACAAAAGACCGTATATCAACAATACCTACGAAATTCACATCAAGGTAGGCAATGCGGATCATAATATAAGGCTGGAAAGCGAAGTCAGATACGACATTTACCAGCTGATTGACAAGAATCAATAATCGCTAAAAAAAGCCAAATTAAGGGTCCAGCTCATTGTGAGCAGAAGCTGGTACCCAAGAGTGGAGGAGCAGAACGCGCCATAAAAAGTCGAGTGTAGCCAAATTTACAGAGCGGGCACAGTGAACGTTGAAATCAGAGGTCACCCGAACGCCAAGCCAAAGCAAGCCGTTTATAAAATTTA